CCTTCTCAAACTCATTAATAATTCATTAAGAAAATACAAAGGAAATTAATGTTTAATGAGTGTTTGGAAATCGGATGAAACACTGCTTAGTATTTGCATCCTTAATTTCTCCTTCAAAAATGATTTTGTTTGAGAAGAAATATCAAACATTCGACACAGTGTTTCGTCACCAGATGAAACACCTCGAAGTTCGTCAAAAATACTCCGCTGCGCGTCGTATTTTCAACTCTCTTCTCGGTGTTTCATCTGGTGATGAAACACTGCATCTCATGTTTGATATATTACTTCAAGTACAGTTGAACCTCTCAACAGAAAACAACGGCCACCTTGGAAACAAATAAAGTGGCCGCTTTAAAGAGGTTTAAACAAGAGTCAATATATGGAATGTCCGCCGAAAAAGTGGCCGTTATAGAGAGGTGGCCGTTATAAGACGTTCGACTGGTTTCAGTTTTATCCATATCTTAATATTTCTATATCTCGTGTGTATTTTCAGTCTTACTCTTCTAATTAAGTTTTCTCAAGCAAGTATATGGATGGCTAGATTAAACATATTCATAGACAACCTTCCAGCCTGTCTAACGGATATTTTCAGATATTTTTCTATGGATTTTAATATTTCTAATATGTCTATTTTCTATCTTATCTTTTAATTAAGCGTTTTTGAGCGCTTACTAGTAGTGAAGCTAATACACCACACACTGATGGATAGACAGCCAAGAAGCCTGTCTACCGGATAGGTCCTCTAATATTTTCAAGCCTGTTTGACTCGATTTAAGCACATACAGATAGCAAAGATATTTTTGAACATATTTTAGTCAGCCTACCACAAATCAACTCCAAAGCAAAGTCCAACAGTTCAATGAAACGTGAGTGGGTCTGCCATTAGCTAGTGTCCCTCAACCTCTCGTACGCAAAGGCCACATTAAGAACAGTGGCTTCATCAAACTTTCTACCCACAATCATCATTCCCACAGGCAAACCATCGCTGAATCCTGCGTTGATTGTAAGAGCTGGGTGTCCTGTCACGTTAAATGGACCAGTGTTCTCGCAGAAATCAAAAGCATTTCCTAAGAATGGAATATAATCAAAATGTACATGCAGTACGTCAATTCTCTATTAATGGACACCTCGAGTCCCTTTCCTTTTCTTTGACTCTCTATAAGTAACGCGAAAACCAAGAGTTGGAGCCTTCCATGATTAAGTCATTTTCTTTTCGATGACTTTCTTTCAAGTGGACATCTCTCTCTACGTCGAACACCTAGGGCCAGTTATTTAAACGGAGTTTAGCCAGTGTTTAACAAAACTGCGTTCTAAGCCATTTTCAGTTCGCCGAACACTTACAGACAGCGATATAAGGACAAAGTAGACGAAGAACTACTCAGTGGATCTAAGCCTTCTACAAAGTCATTATTATTGTTTTATTATTTATTAACTTGTCCCAGGAGGTTATAACTCGGAGCAAGCGACTTTCATGTACTTGTGTCACGGCGTTTTCAATGGTCAGTTTATTTTTAGAACGATTTTGACGCGAATTTAGAACATTCTAGTCCCACGAACCAATCAGCACAACCTACGGCGCTGAAAAGGACGTTTTAGTTTTCCGTTTAGTTTTTCTTTCTCATATGTTATCTTTCAAATGTGCTCATAGATGGAACGGAGCTTCCATTTTTGCGGGGAAAAGTGCGCTAAAATGTATCTAAAAATAAACCAGCCCTTGAAAACGCCGTGACATAGGCCTAGTATGGGAGTTGCTCTCTCCAGCTCATGGGCTCCTGCTTGTCCAAAACACTTCCCCGCACGCTCCCATCAAAATTAACTGAGGACCATCCACTACGGTTACTTACCAAAATTCACTTCACCAGAGTCTGGGACTTTTGGCGGCTGGTTAATGATTGTTGGCATAATAAGAACGTCATAGAATTTCAAAGCTTTGTCGTACTCTTCATATAATTTGCGTGCTAAGTTGATCGCCTTTCCATGAAATACCCCATGACTATCTTCATGTAAAAGAGCACCCAGTATCATGGTTAATTTCCCAACAGGACCCAGATCTTTCCCACGGGTTGTGAAACCACGACCAATGGCTGCTTGAAGACTGGTGTCGACAAAGCCTTTGGCTTCTGAATTAGACCCTTTAAGAACAAATTAATGGAGAAGAAAAAGTGATGACGTCACAAAACTAAATTTGTGAAATTATGAGATTGGTTGGTACATCCAGAAAGAACAAGGTGAAAAATGTTCACTCGCCAAAAATCAGCCTGTTCTGTGGTGCAAATTGGTGAGGAGATATAACCTTTCTAGTTCTCTATAATGTAAGACAAGAGATCAGTATTTCTGTCTATTTTTTAGAGGCGTTTTTCAGCTGTATCAGGATTGGTTGGGAAATCAATGAACGAAGAAACCTAGCCCCAAAACAAAACAGCTGGATTATAGGCAAACCATATAAAATATCGACGGTTATAATCTGTAAAGCTGTCCAGTAAGCTGCATATTACACTCACCACTAAGTAGTCTGTAACCCCCTTCCATGCAAAGCGCGTCACATACTCTAATCCCTGTCAACGAAGCAAAAAGATCAGAATTTGCGTCAAGTGGTAAGTCAAAGAGCAAGAAATGATCAGGCAACCCATGCATCCAGGAGTTCACATTTCCCAGAGCGAACAACTTTCATTCGGCATTTGCAAAGAGCAGTTTCCAGTTTTATTTTTGCGTCCAAATAGAACAGGCTTATTTGTATGCGAATCTGTTGATGTAATACCATTGAAATATGAGCAATACCATTTCCAGGCTTGGCTTCTTTGCTGTCAAGTTTGTGGGACCCCCACGATGGCCCTAATTTGCCGCAAAATTAAACTTAAACAGGTAGGTAAAAACGCCATGACGAGTGGAGCGCACATGGGAGTTGAATTAACATTCAAAGGTATGTGCCCTTGTTGTAGTGGGGACCTTACGATCCGACAACGGCGACGTCCATGAAAACGTCGTTGAAAAATAGACTTCGCGTCCTTTTAAACGTTTTCGCGACTATACCAATTTGCCCTGTTACTTAAAAGAAGGGAATTGTGGTTGGAGATGAGTAGAGGGGACCGCGCCCGAATTCAGACAGAGATGGTAGAATTCATTGCCTTGCCGTTCCCGTTCTCAAGTAAACTTAAAATTTGGTCATTTCACGACGTAGTTGTGTAGGGAGAGCAAAGATATGTACAAAAAAGAGTGATGCACGTGCTCATCAAACCTATTGCTTTTTTGACGTTCTCCGTGCTGTCGCCGTCGTAGTCTCGTAAGATCCCTAGTATGTCACAGACGAAAACGCAAACCTTAGGGTGGATCTCCACTGTTGTGTAATTTGCACATGTGCAAATAAAATAGAGGCAATTTATGAAAGGTCACACGTAAACGTAAAACTTAAACCTCGCTCATCTATTTACGCGCGTGAAATTTACGGGGGTACCCAGATATAAATTACACGACAGCGGAGATCCACCTTAATGCAAAGTCCAGCAGTCGTGTGGAACTTGGGATAGAACATATTAATATTGCTTGTTTCACATATCAAAGGCTACAGCCTACCATCAAAATGAATTGGTACTGACACCTGTCCAATAGTAGCACCCAGTGATGATAACCGATCAGCGGCTTCTTTCACCATTGTCATAATCTTCATGTCGGCATCCGGCATGTTGAATCCCTCCTTTAGCAGTCCAATACGCAGCCCGGAAATGTTACCTGTGAGCTGTAGAGGTTTAAAGGGAGACAGAGAATTAGTTTGGCTTACATATATGTCAGTGAGGAAAAGCAAATCAAGTGAAAAAATCACGCGTTACCAAAGCTAAACGACAAAAAGTGAGACTTTGAGGAGGATGAGCTTGTTTGGTGAAAGTTGTGTTCTCTGGAGTGAAAAGCCCCCTTGCTATTTTGTGTCAAACAGCTTGGGCGCTGGTGGAATGAGCTAGCCGAGGTTAGATTTCTTAACTCGTTTTGTTGACTAGCTCAGTGTTTCATTTAATAAGCATTGTTCAGCTGTCTAAAAATGTTTAAACCCTGGGAAGGGTGGGGAAACCTGAACTATTGTACTTACAGAGCTGGTGTATATGGCAGGAGTGCTGAGATCACGTAGTTGCCTTGGATCCAGGTCTCCATCCGATCCTGCAACCACCTTAATGAATCAAACCACAAAGCAAGCATTCAAACGTCAAAGGACTCTTGCTACACTTGCATATATGCTTTGACAAACAACTCTCAGTGCTAATGCATTGATTGGCTTGAAGCGCTCTGTGAAGGCTGATAGCTCATTTTTCTGTGTGAACAATCTAAAGTAATATTTCTTTCTGTGTAATGTATGTCTGAAATTACTCAACTTCGTCCTGATAAAGTCGTGAAGTTGTCGTTGCCTCTAAAAAGCAATTTGAAAACAAAAACTAGGTAAAAGTGTCGCGTTCCCAGTGTCGTAGACGCGTGGCGTTAGGCACTGGAGTTCGCCAGGTCAACCACAGTGAAGCACTAGGCGGTCAGCAAGATTCAATGACGTTTATTAAAATCAGGCTAGTCCGACTATTTACAGCACTTGCGGTGAAAACTAGAAAGAAACGTGCGATTTTTACGTCAGAAGAAAAGAAAACTAAGATAATGCTCCGTGCACGAAAAAAGAAAGAAAAACAAACTACTGAATTACAAGCGTGACTTACGTCTGATCTTGACTCCAGGGGTTAAAAGAACTCCAAATCTCCTACAGTTGTAATAACTCCGAAAGTTCTCCAAAAGCTCCTTACACTGTGATGGACTTCTTACAACTGAATAAACGTGCTTAGGAAAAGAATAATCTAACGCATGCCTTCTGACGTAAAGGAAATAAAACTGAATAAAGCTTTGTACGCCTAGCCAAAAAACGGATATACGATGATCATGCAATAAAATAATCAATGTTACAATCACGAAAGAAAAAACAGTCCTTGAATGTAACTAATTAAAATGTCATCTCTCGCGGATAACGTGACAAAAAGGCTTCTTGTAATTAAACACTAGAACACACACCTCTAACACAACCATAAAAAAATTTCCTAAAGATATTTGCAAGAATCTTACTTGCGGGAAGTTTCTAGTTTACCTCTAAAAGTAAAGCCACATCTTTCACAGTTCTTGCCATCGGTCCTGTGTGATCCAAACAAGTGTGCACTGGGATTATCCCTGTGTACGGCACTAGCCCATACGTTGGCTTCAATCCAACAATCCCACAGGCAGCGGCAGGTATTCTTATTGAACCTCCTTGATCACCGCCCATAGCCATGTCTACTTTACCTCCAGCGACCTGTTAATAATACTGATTTTTATTCTACCATCAACAATGCCTTGCCCTCATAGATGGTACAGATAATTTCTCCACTTTTCAAAACACAATTTCCTTTTTTTCTTCAAGGACTTGAGTTAGATCCCAAATTGGTCTCAAAAGCACCCTTAACAAAAATATATATTTTACTCACCTGGGACAAAACAGATGGGCTAAAAAATATATACTAACAATGACACTTACCAGTGCCGCACAACCAGATGAGGATCCAAGTGCCATTCTTTTTTCATCATAAGGATTAACAACAGGACCTGTGAATGAAGTACAGCTGGTCGCAGTGAAACACCACTCCTCACACACTGCTTTACCAGTGATTGTCCCACCAGCATCCAATATCCTGGATACCACAGTTGCATCATAATCTGGGATGTAGCCTTCTAACAGATGTGAGCCGCACATCATGGGTATTCCCGCTACAGAAATGGTGTCCTTCATGGCTATGGTCTTTCCAAGGAGTTTTCCACTTGGTGTACCAACTATGTTACATCGCCAGTACCTGCAGTGCAAAACTGACTTTTGACCTTTGTATCATGCAACTTAATATTGTCAAGATACGCACATTAGCCCCGGGGACACAATACAGGGACAGGTCTCAGCAACAATTCACTTTGTGTCACCCTATGTACAGGAATCCAAGGCAGTCGTGGATTCTCTTGCTTCCACGCCATGGATTCCAGATCCCAGGTGCTGAATTCTGGATTCTTTGTCACTGAAACAATCATTAGAGGGATTTTGGATTCCTTGAGCTGTATTCCCAATTCCAAAGCCCAGGATTCCAGACTCCACAGCAAAAACGTACTGATTCTGGATTCCACAAGCAAAAATTTGCCCGATCCTGGAATCTGGATTGTTACTTACATGGGGTGATTTGCGTGACATGAGAATTTTCTAAAAAACTTTTGTACCCAATACCCAATTGTTTTTTGTATAACAAGTCGCACTAACTCAAGGAAATCAGGCCTGCATACATTTTTAGAGTCTTTTTAGGATGTTCTTCATTTTTTCTACAAACGTTCTGCAGACATTCGCAGAAGATCTGCTGATATAATCTATAGACTATCTGCAGATCTGCTACAGATTTCCTGGCAGCTCTGCAGCAGACTATAAACAGATCAGCTGGTCTCGCATGGGAAAATAACAGTAAAAATTGACTACAAAACCCCCAACTCACCATGCATTGAAAGGGTTTTCCTCTGGGGCTGGTCTGTAGCCAGGTTCTCGAGGGTATTTAACATGAGGCTTTGGATCTGGTAACTCACTGATTCGCTGATAAGTATCATTTAAAAAGCTGAATATGGCATCTGAAAAGATTTCGAAAATGGACACTTAATTAAACTTAGAGACAACAGGTCATGAAATGACATGAGTTTAAAGCCCTAGGTGACTAGTGGGAGAGTTGGTAGGTTCATGTCCGGGGGGGTACTCCTGGGAATTCTTGGTGGGGGTGTGCCGCTCGGTTCTTCAAATCCTGACCCAATATCAGCCCAAAAAAATGTAATTATCCACACCCATTTTCAAAGTAGACCTCTAAAATCCATATCTGTTTTCTGACCTAGCCTTTAGGCAGAAATTATGTTATCATTACTTAGATTAGGGTGCAAACACAAAACTATTCAAATTCATTTCGAATTTGCATATTTTTCTTTCTTTCTTACTCATTTAGAATTGAAACAATAAAGATGTTCATACACTCCCGTAGTTCCCTCGAAAACCCAACCTGATTTTCAGACCAAAACAGCGCAAGAACCCTATCCGATGGGGTGGCACATACCTATATGGCTTATATAAGGAAGTACCCCCCCTGGGGGGGTTCATGTGTAGCCGTTCACCTTGGTACATGCTGATATCTTCTTCTTTTATGTCAAATCCCAATTGATGAGATAGCATCCTTATTTTTTCGGTACTGGGGGACTGTACGTGTGGTAAAGATTCCTAGAAGGGAAATGCAGTGATCAGAATTTGGTTTGTGGTAAAGACACCTCTTTTCTTACAGAAGTTTGAATCTCAATGCTCGAACCCTGACAAAATTAAAGCTTATACCCTTCGCGATATGGAAACACGTTACGTCAAAAAAGCAGGGGATTATTCGATCGAATTCACTGTACTATAGTATACCCGCCAACTTTTTCTGAGATATAAGCGTGAGATTTTTATCCTGGGAGTGCTGGGATTTTTGAAAACGACACGATCATTTCTGAAGATTCCCGAAGAATTCTGAAGTCTTCCGAAGAAGTCCGAAGTGTTCCGAAGACGTCCGAAGTCTGCTGAAGGCGAAGTTATCGAGTCCCAGTCTTAGGACGCGTATAAACCCGAGCTTGCTCCCAGTGCTTTTCACTTCAAAATCAGAGATCGCAAGGAAGGTATTGTCATTTATTCATTTTACACATGGTTTTCGTTCCTTACATGGGTCTGAGTTAACATATTTTTGGAAATTGTGTCAAGCAAGACGGCAACA